ACTGGCTTTCGAGCAAGGGAACCTTTACCTTTACTTACCCTAATAGGTAAGGACCAGATCTGAGCAAATTTTACAACTTTTCTTTTTCTGTGTTTTAATTTTTTAAAAAATTCAAGTCAATTAATTAGATATGTGTGCTTAGAATTCTTAGGGAATTTCATAGCCAGTATTAGTAACAGTAACATATCCTTTATATATCTATATCTATATATCTATATATAATATTTGAGGAGGGAAACTAGCATGGTGACTCAAGAAGAAAGTCAACTTGATCATTACAAACTCAACAAACTTCTTGAAAACTCTGAAAACAAAAGTGCAAAATTCTTTTTTTTTTTTTTTTGCTTGGTGGAGATTTCACATGATATGGCAGAGAGGTCATAGCGGAGCTAGAGGTGTATTTCTAACAGCAGCCATTTTGTTCCTGTCCTACACTGACACTGATCAGATAACCAGATTGTATTTGTGAAGCAGGACCCTGGACCACATCTAGTTAGTTTCTTTCCTCTGATGGCCTGTCATCCTGTCAGTCCTGACCTTCAGGCTGTCCTGCACCATCTGAATCACATTCTCTCTGCACTTTCTCACTGACTGCAAGCTACTGTTGTCTCACTGTCTGACCTTACACAAACACAATAGAAACAGACAACCCACCTCAGCTCCATCACTGTCTATCGCTTACACAGGAGATTGATAGCCACCCAGAATTCTCTCTCTTCGACCTTCATTACTGGAGTGGCATATTCTGACTGACAGCCAACCTCATTTCACAGCAAGCTCAACTACCAGTTGTTGCCAGCGCAGGATTTCTTCCCTTGCTTTTCAAATTGCTTTCTCAGAGCAAAGGGATTAACTTCCAGTTCTAATATGACACATCTACTCTTATGAAAAAAGTGTGTTTATAATAATAAAAAGTGTGTTTAAAATAATAAAAGTGGGGTAAGAATGTAAATCTAGAAAGCAAACAGAAATGAAGAAACAGGACTTTTGATTTGTATGGGAGTACAAGTAGAAATATAACCATAATCTGCAAACTGGTTACTTTAGAAGACTCCTGCTGATTAAACTGGACATCTCTCTAGCAAGTGATTGATGGTTTTCCATCCTTAGGCATGTGAATGTTACTGAAAGTCTGCTGTGCAAATAGAGTTGTATTTTTAAGAACATTTTTATCCAGTGTTTAGAATTACTTGTGGTTATTATTACAATCCTTTTTACTGAAAACACCAGAGGAACCCTTCTCTCCTCTTTAGAAGTCACAACATTTCTTGCCTTAAAGGTTGCACCCAGGAGATAATGGCCACTGTACCCTGACCAACAATGTCCCTACAAAATTCAACCTGCCATGTGTTGAGCCAGAAACGAAGAAAACATTTCTTGCATTGTATATTGCAACAGTTCATCTCACATATTTCTGTCAGCCTGATTGCCACTGGCCTTTGAATAATACAATACGAAGTCTTTTCCCGCTCTGCTATCAGCTTCGATCCTTTAGTTAGTGATGCTAGGGGACTGAACCTACAATCCCATTCAGACCCGGGGTCGTAGAAGAATTTTTTTTTTCCAAGTTCAGGAAGACTAGTGTCATGTGTGAGCATGCATGGACACATTATGGTTATATGTTGTAAGCCACCCTGAGCCCATTCGCGGGGAGGACGGGGTATAAATTGAATTAATAAAATAAATAAAAATATGTTTCATTGATATATAAATAAGCATTTGTTTCCCCCCGGCAGATTATACCATTTTCAAATATGAACTATGATTCTTAACTATGGAGACCATGTCTCCCACTTTGGCGAGAGACCTCCTGCTCCTTGGCTCTGCCTGCAATTGCTCAGCTGGGTGGTGGTGAGGAAATGCCAAGGAAAGGGGGGGGGGATCAGCATCACACCAACATCATGACATCACTTCTGGTGTGACTCTGAAGCAGGCCCGTAGATACAGTAGGGCATTTTGGAGCTCTGCCCCCTCAAATGTGAGGCATGCCCCACAACAGCTGCTGCCCTTCTCCCCCCTCACCCTTCCTCCCTCTCCCTCCCTTCCTGTGACATTAAATGGAGGTGAGAAAGAGGGACGGCTGCCAGCCGCACCCCTTCCCTGAACTCCAAGTGGCGATTTCGCCGCTTGGATTTCAGGTGCATGCAGCCCCCACTTGAAAAACAGCATGTAAAGGTTTTTCTAGCAGGGACTGCCCACACCTGATCTCTTAGTGGTGAAATTGCCACTTGGAGTTCAGGGAAGGCCCACCCCCTCCCCTCCCCTGCTGCCACATAAAATTTCCCCATGATCTACCAACCCAAAATTTCTGGCTACAGGGCAGCCTGAAGTGACATTGTTGCTTCAGGTGATCCTCTACCATTTGATCAAAACTCTATGGTTAAACTATAGAGACTGAGGTTGGATGCTAGAGTGTCACCCTGGCATTTTGATGTCACTCCCAGGTAGCACTGGAAGAGCCTTCGTGGCACCAGTGTGATGCTAAAGTAAGTCTCTTCTCCCTGCAATCTCCTGTTGGTTGCCACAGGCTGGCAGCCCTATTAATGACTTACACAGTTCAAACAGGGCCTTAACTACCCCAGTTGCATTCCCTGAGTCAATTCAGCATTGGTTTCATTTAATTAAACTACAGAAAGGATTCTAAAAATGTGATATAAAGTACTCATCTTCTAAATCATTTATGAAAACATGTGCTCGTATCCTATGAAGATGAATGGAATCTGAGGATCACACCTAATGATTCCTAATTTGCTTTGGAAGAATTCAGCCCACCTGTGAATTTCCTTGGACTTTTAGCTCTTACAGATGATGAAAAGACCAAAACCACTATTATAAAACTTGGTATGAAACACTATAACCACGAATGCTGCCATTTCTTACCTTTTGGGCTCAGGAGGTGGCTGGGATTTACTCTCTTTCCTCTTTTTGGACTCCTTTTTGGAATCCTTTTTTGGCTCTACTTCAGTAGCTGGGGGATTGTTTGCAATTGGCAGTAAGCCACCAAGAATCTCTTCCATTTTTTGGCTTTGGGGTATGATAGGGATGGTTTAAATGAAAAAGGTAAGAACAGCAGAAAAGGGGGGGAAATGAAGGACAGATAAAATCATAACAAAAGAAATGAAACAAAACAATCTGAAAGCAAAAAACAATAGCAGTAATAATAATAGGTAATGCCAACAAAAGAAGCAAAGGAAAGTAAGAAACAAAAAAGAAAATAAGGAACACCAACCCCTTACCCTGACAAGATGCATCAGTGCAATTGCAGTTTGAGTGGCAGTCTTATAATGTAAAATACAGGCAATGTGTATAATAATTCATGATGATGTTTACCAAGAGAGCTTACAAAAACACTTCATTATTTTATAACACTCTGTTATTCAGTAGCATATGCAGAACAGAGTGTGACATCTCACTGTATAGAATGCAACTTCCAAAAAGAAAAACACCAGTGCAACAAATACCATTGCTGTCTATAGAGAAAGGAAACTTGCAGCCATAAAATCTCCTTTAGATTAGAAACTGCTATGTAGCTATTATGGCTGTCAAGTGGTGATAGGATTTTAAAAAATTAAACTCACTTCCCCAGTTGTTTTATGTTACAACCCATTGTATTGGGCTAAAGAGGTACTTCTGGACAAGGGGAGGTAATTGCACAATGGATCAGTCATGCTTGTACACTAAAGCTGTGCAGGAAAAAAAATGTTTTTTTTCATTTGGGTATAATAAAGTCAATTTTGGGGGGGATTCCGGAATATACCCAAATACCAATACCGGTATTCTATTGGTACCCGAAAATTTTCGGTATTCGGCTCCATTATATCCTATTGGGCCATTGTAGTCAATGGCAAAAATCTTCTAACAAGTATTCAGGGGGCTGGGGGGGAAGGGGTTTGTGGTAGAGGCGCCAAATTTGTACTGTAGCTGCTGGAGCCTCTCCCTAAAAGACCCTCCAGGTTTGGAAAGAATTGGACCAGGGGGTCCAATTCTAGGAGCATCCAAAGAGGGTGCCCTCAATCCTCCATTGTTTCCTATGGGGATGGGGGAAAAGCAGGCAGCAGTGTCTTCCCGAGAAAGCCGAAATTCAGTATTCGGCAGCTGAATCAGCTCAGGGGATCTGATTCGGTATGCTGAATACCCAAAAAATGCCAAAAAGTTTTTTTTTTTTTAACGGAATGAACACCCCTACTGCACACCCACTATTTGGGTACAGATGATACAGTTCTGTATCCTGTGTTCACACAGCCAACAATGCTGACACAGTAGCTTTAAGTAGCAGGAGAAGTTGGCATCATGATTTCAGCAGCAGTATAAAACACTGTATTACTATAGTATAAAAGAGTCACAGGAAGCTACTTTCCCTTTCCCTGCTTCCTGTCATGCTGTTGTAAGAGGTTAAGGAATTGGGTTTAATTCACCTCTGCTTTACCTCATTCAATACATACACAAGATCAGATTTCTAAGCATACTGCATTATGTTTTCCAGTATCTATATGTTTTGAACATGCATCTGAAACATAAAGCCTGAATCATGTGAATCTCAGATGATTTGCAATAAAGCCATCAATGGGAATGATTTTTGTACAGTGATGGGTACTGTATTTGTTTAAAATCTTTAATCTATAATACATTGTGGCTAATAAAACAATTTCTCATCTTCATTAGTTAATGTTTTCACTCTCATTAATCACAACATAAAATCATGAAAAGCAAGGTGACACATGGAATATATAGTGGTGTATCCCATTGGATAAAAATACGTTCTGCAGTCTCACACTACCCCATGATCTTACCAATCTGCATCAAGCAATTATCAAATATAAATATCATATATTTATATTATCTCCTTTTTAAATGCTGTTTTCATTTAGGCAAGTAAGAAAACAAAGAAACAAACCAGTTCTGCTTTTAGATAAGTTGTGTGCTAAAAATGCTTTGGGGTCTATTGTGTTTATCCAGAGAAATTCTCCCCTTGGTGCTGCAGAGAAGAGTTGTTCCCTTACCTGTTGCCGTGAACATGCGAAGCACAAAAGGCAAAACTGTAGTGAAGCAAGGTGGGGTCAATCATTGCTCCATTTTCTGCTCGCTCAAGCAAATCACTGAGGTAGCAGAGATGCCTATGACAGCCTCTGACTCCATTACGGGCGCAATACTCATCGAGCACAAATACCTGGCCAGGACTGAACCAGCCCTGCATGGAAATAAAGAGGTCAGGGTTCAATTATAGTAATTTAAACAAGAGCAACATGACATATATTGGATCTGGTGATGCTAAACAAACAAACAGGGACAGCAGCAAATATCTGTAAAGAAAATCTAGACGAACAATTAAATGGGATGCATACAAAACCTAACTTTAATGTGGATAAACTGATAAATATCTAATTATTTTAGAAGATAGCTAGAGAAGCTTAGTACAAATGATATGTTCTATTCAATCGAAGCCATTACAAAACTATGCTTATTACTTAAAATGCTTATATACTTACTCATTACTTTATTTTTTGTGTTCATTGGCCAGTAAAATAGAAAATGTAAAAAAGCAGCTGATCTGCTACTAAATCAGTTTTATACAAATGAGCTTGAGCCATCTGAATCAGCCTCAGTCTATCCATTAAAAGGAACAATCCTCATTCTCTTCACTGCCAGTATAAAGAGACTCAGAACATTGCAATAAGAGCACATCAAAACACTGCCAGGAAATATGATTGACAATGAGATACTTCCAGCTGCACCTCCTGTTTGGAGACTTTCTGTCCTGTGCTCCACAGTCCAGTTGTTTTGTAGGAAATCAGACAAATTACTAGAGAAAGTTCAATCTGTGCACCAAGGATAATTGCCAGAGTGGTCTATACTTTCTGGCTATTATTATTTCTGTTTTGAGACTTGGGGGATGGGATAGAGAGATATAGGATTTGATGATTTGATAAGTAATTGGTTAGGGTCAATATCTGTGACAATCTATTATATGGAGCCCAACTGTACTTAGGGAGGTGTGGTTGTAGGGAATGTGGCAGTTTTTGGAGACAACTGGGGTGACATAAGAGGACACACTGGTTGTTTAATCAAACATTCCAAGACAGGTGGAAAAACCCTCTAATCTTTCACTTTGAATGTGATTTTGATCTTTGCCGGGTCTGTTAAAAATAAGAATTCCTTGCTATATGATTGGGGGAGCTGACCAGCTATATGTGACTGAGAACTAGCTTGATGAAGCTGACAATGATGACAAAATATTACTAATTATGCCAGCCAGGTTTTCAGTCCCTCATCAGACCTGAACTGAAGGACCAATGGGGGGTGGAAGTGGTAATTCTCTGGGAGTCTGTCTCCTTTCGCAGATTCCTGATGCAGATGATTGCAGCCACTGATTTATGCACCTTGTGTTGGGTATCACGGACTGTCTGGGTCTCCCACTGGTGTACTGTTTACCTAGGTCATCAGCAGGAGCCCTGGCTGAGCTTGTGGAGGAGGGCTAGAACCTGCACTTTAGGACCCCTGGACAAGTTCTTCTGGGCTCCTTCAACATTCATGCTGAGGCAACCTTCTCAGGCTATCCTGAAGTGCTCCTGGCCAATGTAGGAACTATAAGTGTGTCTCAGATTGTAATGAACCTTACACATGAGAAAGGTAATATGTTAGAATTAACCTTTGGTGTTAAGCAGGGAAATAGTGGTCTGATAATGCAGGTGAATGTTTTGCCCATGTCTAACCAGGCCCAGTTGGTTATAGCACCTCCCTCCTGCAACAAAGAGGGCAGTATCAGGATCCGGGATTTTTTTGGGGAAATCCCAAATCTTTTTGGGTCCAATAGGACTGATAAGAAGAATAAAACAGGGTGAAAATTGCACACAAGAGGCTGTGTCTGCGGGGAACAGTCTGCTCCCCACAGGCACAGGTGGTCCTGGGCTGACTTCTCTGCTGAGCCAAGGCAGAGAGAGGAGCTCTCAGCTCCCACTGTCCTGGACAATCCTGGGCTACCCCAACTGAGGCAGTGTGGAGCTTTCAGCTCCTGCCGCCCCAGTTGATTGTCTTTTGCAGCCTGGTTTAAACTGGGCTGCAGGAGAAGCCAGCCAGCCCCAAGCTGAGTTGGTGGGGGCTGTCTTCTGCTTCTTTGCAGTTTAAAGGGACTGCAGAAGCCCAGCAACGTGCTCCCACCTCTTGCCGTTTTCAGATCTACCAGTAATTCCCAAATGTATCCAGGATTTTCTTGGGATTCCCCCCTGGTTTTCCCAAGAAAACCCAGATACATTTTGGATGCTAAAGCAAACCCAAAAAATACTGATAAGGTATTTTTGGGTATACTTTCAGTTTGGGTAGATCTGATTGCACACTCCTATCATCCATCCTTTTCTAAATAAGCTTTACAAGGAGACCATGGCCATTGGTTAGCCTCTGTCACATATACCATTGGGAAAAATAACCGAGAGAGACATTGCTGAGTTACTGGTGGGCCATGGTGGATGGTCTCTGAACACCGCTGGATGAAGGAAATGTGTCCCTTTTTGTTTTGTAAGATCTTTCTGCTGAATCTAACAGCATGGACCACTTTATATTACTGGAGCATTTTGAGAAGACAGCAGAATTGAGAGATAGGGTGTAAAGTGATTTCAGTCTTTTTTGTCTGGTCATACCCACAAAATCATGGTGAATGTTGAAGAAGACCTTTGGATGTGATTGTCCAAAAGATTCACAGCTGTATGTCATCAGTATGTTGAAACAAAGCTTTTTTATTTCTTTGGATAATGCACTAGAGGCAGTGCTCTCCATACTGGACCACTGGTGACTGTGGTCCAGAAGCTGAGGGAGAACAAGATATGTTTGAATCCAGACAAGATGGAGGTGATGGTGGTCAGTAAGATGTAGACTTTGGCAGGGATTGTCCTATCTACTTTGGATGGGGTGGCTCTTTAAAAAGCTTTGGGCTATTATTAGATTTTACACTTTTGTCAGAAGATCAGGTAACTGCAGAAGCCAAGACTGCATGCTATTGGCTTCATTTGGTGTAAAAATTATCTCTCTTCATGAGCTCTGGTCATATTGATCCATGCTTCTGTAACCTTGAGGCTAGACAACTGCATTGTGGTATGTGCTCTTGAAGACTATCTGGAAGCCAATTGGTAATATTGGTTTCCAAGACTCATATCTTGGAAAAGCTGCACTGGTCATCAATATATTTATGGGTCTGATTCAAGGTGCTGTTTTTGATATTTAAGTACCTAAACAATCTGGTCCAGCTTACTTGAAAGACCATATTTCCTGGTGTAAATGATTTTGCTACCTCAGATCCTTTCATGACTCCTCCTAGTAGACCCTCCCTTTGAACAGTCAAACAACCAACCAGTTTTTTGGGGGTGTGGCTCCAGCTTTAGGTAATGCCCTCCCAGAAGTGTGAAGTGCCTCTATGCTGTCCACCTTCTGTAGGGAATGTAAGGTTGCATTTGGCAGTTAATTCTATAAGGAGGGGAAATTGTGTAGCCTTTTAGGTTTTTTGTAAGCAACCTTAAGCCACTTGGCAGGAAAGGCAGCATATAAATAGTTTAATACATAATAAAACAAAGGCACACTACTTTTATTTACAGAAATGTTCCGAAGTTGTATGTGAGGGATTTTTTTTTCCTGACATTGGCAACAGAGAATAAATTCTCTGAATCTCCAGTTCATAATAAGTCATGGTGCACGTAATTTTCCATGTGTTCAAGTTGCTGAATTGTGCTATACCATATAATGAAGACTCAGAATGCCTTAAGGTATGAAAAAATAATTAAGCCCAAAGGCTTAAAAATCACTCATATCTATCCATGCCAACTAAACCACCTTCCTAAATCTAAATATCTTACATTATTTCTGGATGAAGAAAAGTCTTAGGATTTGTCAGATCTCTGTGGGAAAAGAAATTATGCAATCCCCAATAACACTGTGCAGTTAGTTCATGTGTGTACAGCTGAATATGTGGGGGTAAATCAGGAGTTCACCTGAGGGGTGTAACTTCAACATGTTTGAAGTCCTGCTCCTGTCCTCCCGGCATTCTACATGCATGCATGATAATACGCATAAACTTTGCAATCTGTGCCTGTAAAAAAGGGACATATGTGTTCAAAGCCTATGCCTATCACAGTGTATATGCATGGAATCTCCCTTGCAGCCAGCATCTCAAATGCATGGAGGTTCGTGGCAGATTTCCCACCCCACCCCCTGCCCTTATGTGTGCACAGATGAAATATCTGCACAGGCCAATATTTCTCTAGGCAGAGAATGCAAGATCCAGAATCTGCCCTTAGTTATTAACAAAGGAAATCGAAGTAGTTTCTAACGTAGTGTTTCTTAACACAGGTAAGGCCTACACTGTTTTGATTTTTTTGTAGGCTGGCTGGGTAAATAAGATATGGTTGGAAGAAGATCAGAAGCCAGTTTGTTGCCAGTACACTGCTACTAAACTCCCAGAAGTCAATCGTGTGCCTCTTTAAGGGCAGCCACACAAGACAAAAAAGTGTTGCAACAGTCAAGTCTAAAGGTTACACAGACACCAATGAACAATGAAGCAGTTTTGTAAATCTATCCCATCATGCCAGAAGATGATGCTGTCATTTTGCTGAAGAGGCCTGTCCTTTATGAAGACAGTACACAGGGAAGGCGGCTTTCTCGGGTTGACTCTCCTTCAGCTAATTTGAAAATCTTTTCAGTAGGATAAGAATGAACTTGCAGCCCTTTCCAAAATATCGCCAGCTCTTCAATATTGATATGGATGCTGCATGACTGATACCAGGCATCTCTCTAATGCCTCAAAACTGCAAAATCTTTCATCTTTTAATTGAAAAGTTCCTGCGGCGACTAGATCAGTGCCCTGCCCCTTTAGGCAACTTCTTTGCCACCCCATCTGCCACCCCAAATGCTACGTCTTCGAGATGCTGCTGCTGCGAAAAGATTAAAATATATTTTCTACCACTCGGATGACACCAAATCTTTTCTGGATGCCAAAATAGCTACTGTTGAGGAGAGTTGAAGAAAATATCAATTAAGAACTCTGTAGAAGGGATTTGCTTATTCTTGTTGGGCCAAATCCAGAACAGATTGAAAAGGGATTAAAATAATGAGGGGCAGAATCAAAGGCATGGGAAACAGACATCATTCCTTTCATTACTCCAATCGCCAGAAAGCGCATGTGTGAAAATGAAGATGCCGATTGAGAGT